CCCTCCTGCTGCCCGGCCTCTTGCCGCCCTGCCCCCGGGATCCTGCTCTGGGCGGCGGGGGGAGGGGGCCGGGGCTGCTAACGCGGCTCATGCGCCGTGACGGCCGGGGGCGGGGGGTCCGTTCCCTTCCCCCATCGCTGATGTCTTTGGTGGGGCTGAACCTTCCGCGGGGAGGAAGGTTGGAAAATCATAACTGAGCCTAAAGCCCTGAGGAGAGATAAACGGAGAACCTGGGTAGCGGGGATTGGGCTCAGCCCCTTGCGTTCCTTGTTTTCCCAGTATCGGTCAGAGCCGATGAGGTGGATGTGGATGGCACCGTGGAAGATGACTTGGGTAAAAGCAGAGAAGGATCTCGAACAGATGATGAAGTTGTTCAGAGGTTAGTACCGAGGGTTTGGGCTAAGTTACTTCTGAAACATGAAGGCTTTTTCTTCCTTTTCAATTGTCAGAACATTAGTCATGTCTAAAATCTCAGAAGGGAGGGGGACACACCATTCAAGAGAGAGCTCTGGCTAGCTGAGTGAAATAAAATATTTGTAGAAAAGACTATTTCCTCCTAAATGGATGTGAGCCTGAGAGCTTGGATTCAGAAATACTTAGCTTCTCTTTGTTTAATACTAATAGTTGTATGAAACCAAACAAATTTACTCTTGCACGTAGTAAGTGATGTCAGTTCAGTGGCTACTCATGAAATAGTTCTGTGCCTATGAACTGCCTCCCTTCCTGTGAGGTGTACCACACATCAAGGCCTACGATGGTTTTAACATACCTGTATTCTTTGAATTTCTGTTTAGGAAAAGAACAAACTTACTTGGAAGCATAGATTTTTTTTTCGCTCAAGTTTTAGATCATGGTTATGCAGTTGAGGATAACTAGTCTTGTATATATCTCATTTGATCATGGAATTTTAGGGCTGTGTCACTGATTTAGAATCTTATGGTTGTTCTAAGTAGACTATTTGACTATTCTAACTATTACTACTGTTGCTAGACAACAAAATTGGTGATACTGTACATGGACAAGACTGCTTGACAGGTTTTTGTTGCCCTAACAGAGAGGAAGAAGCTATCCAGCTAGATGGCCTAAATGCATCCCAGATCAAAGAAATCAGAGAAAAATCGGAGAAGTTTGCTTTTCAAGCAGAAGTGAACAGAATGATGAAACTTATTATCAATTCTTTATATAAAAATAAAGAGGTTGGTGCCTGTATCAGTAGAACACGTTAGAATTGTTTGTGTGTTTTCTGCAATTCCTGATGACTGGTTTCTATTCCAGATTTTCCTGAGGGAACTTATTTCAAATGCTTCAGATGCTTTAGATAAGATTCGCTTAATATCCTTAACTGATGAAAATGCTCTTGCCAGTAATGAGGAACTTACAGTCAAAATCAAGGTAAGAAGCACTAGGTACCATTATTTCTTACTGAGGAGCAGTAGGAGGAATGAAAAAAGATGGGGTATAATTGAATCTAAATTTTTTGCTTAATATTGTTGCAAATACAAACTAGCATCACATCAGGTTCCTTACAACAAGGACTACTCTTAATGGTGAAAATGTATTTCTAGTTCTGTGAAGAATAACTGAAATATTTAAATGCTGTGAAGGTAGGTCACTCTCACTTCTGGAGTCAGTGGAAATTTCATTTATTGTAGCCAGGCATGTATGGTTTTGAATAGTGGCTGCTCACTACTTTTCTGTGACAGTGGGTTACATTTGAAGATTCAAAGTGATGAACTGCATCTTCCTTTTTTTTTCAGTGTGATAAAGAGAAGAACATGCTTCATGTTACAGATACGGGTATTGGCATGACAAAAGAAGAGTTAGTTAAAAACCTGGGTACCATTGCAAAGTCTGGTACAAGTGAATTCTTAAACAAGATGACTGAAATGCAGGATGATAGCCAGTCGACATCTGAGTTAATCGGCCAGTTTGGTGTTGGCTTTTATTCTGCTTTCTTAGTAGCAGACAGGGTCATTGTCACATCAAAACACAACAATGATACTCAGCATATTTGGGAGTCAGATTCAAATGAATTCTCTGTGATTGATGATCCAAGAGGAAACACCTTAGGACGTGGCACAACCATAACGTAAGTATTAAGTTTCTTTTGAGTTTGACAGAAAAGTTGTGTGCATATACCTTGGTCATTGAAATATTTGGATGACTTCAGCACTGCAACTTGTATATTGTTTGGTTCCTGCAACACAGCTTTTTTCAGTTTAATAAAAACATGAAAACTATTAATTGTATCCAAAATAAATGTGGAGTGATCATGTAGTTTGCATCGTGTTCCATTAGATAAACTAAGAAAAAACTATGAGTGTCTTGCCAGTTTATGGGCTAGTATTTCCAGACAGTTCAGCCACCTGCAAACTTACTCAGTTCCTCAAACACAGTTGTGGCCCATCAAAACCTATACAAGGGCTGTTGGTAACTGGCTGCTCTTCTATACCAGTGAGACTGGTCTGATGTAAATCTCAAACTTAAGAGGTAGTTTGAGAGTCCTATTGTCATGGCTTTCATATGCAGACAAATTTCTTTTGCATGGGTTTAGACAACTTCTTCCTGAAGGAAACCACTTAGCATGAGCAGATTAATGGAGTAGTTACAAGTAAAGCTTGTGAGACTGCATCAGAATCCTGATGGGTATTAGTATTACTTGAGGTTTTCATTTAGACTTGTGGGTGTTGTGTTCTGCCCCTGTTATTGAAAACAATTACCCTTTCCTTCTCACTGCACCAGTTTGGTAGGGATTGTATTTTTAAGAGATATTTTTAGCTGAGCTAAGAATAGTTCACTTGCATAAATTTGCATTGCTATAGCTGCAACAGTAGGAAAAAGCATAATCTCATGTAAAACTACTTCTAAAAGCTCATCAAGTGCTTTGATTCAATTTTTTAATTTTCTTTTTAGCCTCGTCTTGAAGGAGGAAGCATCTGATTATCTTGAGCTGGATACTGTTAAAAACCTAGTAAAGAAATACTCGCAGTTCATTAATTTCCCCATATATGTGTGGAGCAGCAAGGTAAGTATATTTAACGGAGCATTGCACACTATGAAACAAGACTGCACTAATTTGAGAAAGATCTTCCTTCCACTTGCTTTGGTAGGTGGAAGCTTTGGCAGGGCCATGGTTAGGTTGCCTTCTGAAAACAGCAGTGTCAACTGTTAAGCCTGTTCTTCTGATGTGTTCTTGGTGTAGCACACGTGTAAATTCATCCAAGTCTGATTAGCCTTATGTGTAAAGCCATGGAAAAAACATTAAATTTGACCACAGTGATCTCCCAGTGAATGGAATGGAAGCATGTATTTGTGAAAAATGCAACCAACCAAAAAAAACTTAGCTGCCTAAAGGGAAATGTTTGCAATAGGCAAATAGCATAAGCTAAGCTAGTGCTCTGAGAGATGAAACTGAAGATACTAGAAGATACCTGGTAGGAGCCAAGCAGTCCAAGTTCCCAGTTTCAGTTGTGTCTTTCAAGTCCTTGCTTTAAATTGACTCTTCAGACAGAAACTGTTGAAGAACCCATTGAGGAGGAGGAAGCTAAGGAGAAAGAAGAAACAGATGATGATGAAGCTGCAGTTGAAGAAGAGGAGGAAGAAAAGAAACCAAAAACTAAGAAGGTAAGCTTTGTCAGACTTTTTATCCCACAACATGTAGTTCAGCAGTTTCCATAGACAGCCTTCCAGAAGTGCACTTCAGTACAGTGTGTACTTTCTAACAGCAATCTTGTTTAAGTGCAGTTAGAATCTTGTCAGGATAGAAAATTGTAAACAAAACTGACTTGGTTGAAATTAGTTGACCTTGTGATGCAGTCATTTCAGAACTAACTATAAATATTTCAGTGAACTGTTTGAAATGGTAGTCAGCTTCAGAAATCTGACACTGTTGTGTCTCTTAAATTTAGTATACTCCGCTGGAAAACTTTTGTTTGAATGGCAGTAGAGCAGAAATACTGATTCTCAGAGAAGGTGTTAAATGTACTTAGAATGTACTGTAGTGTAGACGTTTTGTTCTCGTGTATGCTTCAGTTAGAATACCCAAGCTTTTGCATAATTTATTTTGTAGATTAGAAAGAGCATGTATCTTTGGCATGTTTTTTCTATGACTTGGCCTCTGTGGAGTTTCTTTAACTGACTTTATCTGAAGCAAAGAATGAGTCTCTTACACTATGATGTTTACATCTCCAGGTTGAAAAGACTGTGTGGGATTGGGAGCTCATGAATGACATAAAACCAATCTGGCAGAGACCATCTAAAGAAGTTGAAGAAGATGAATACAAAGCTTTTTACAAAACCTTTTCCAAGGTAGGCTCTAAACTTCAAAATTGTTCTAAAGCATGAGGGTTGCTATAGTATCTCTTGGTGCATAAACAAAACTCAGGATGGGCTATTTCAGAAGAATTAATTAATTGCTGTCAGGAGAAGAGACTGGATTGCAGAGAGCGTACAAGGTGTGTAGCATCTCAATTAGGAACCATTATTTTTTCCAGAGAGAAGGTACTGCCACCCAAGTGGTGGTTCCAGCTCGTACAGAGCTTCCTAATGTGTTTAAATGCATATTGACAGGGAAACTTTTAGTTAGTCTGAGTGAGACTGGTGGTGCTTACATGGTGGAAGAAAGCAAAACACAGCTTTCTGGAAACAACATTATCTTTACATGTAAATACAGTGTAATGGTTACTTGGGAGCCTTCTACTGTGCTGTAATAATATGGAATTGGCAAGTTTTTGATGGTTGGCTTGTAAAATAATGTAAATAAGCATCTAAGAGGCTTACTTCTGTATGTAATAAATAATTGTACTTATTTGGCAAACTCATGGTTTTACAGGAAATGTATTAACTCCCCAATATTGTCCCCATATCAATTAAAAGAGCTTGCTCTTTACAGGAACACGATGACCCAATGGCTTACATCCACTTCACTGCTGAAGGAGAAGTAACTTTCAAATCCATTTTGTTTGTTCCTAATTCTGCTCCACGTGGCCTGTTTGATGAATATGGATCCAAAAAAAGTGATTTCATTAAGGTAGGACAAGCAAGTGTGTGGTTATGAATCCCTGTCTTAAAAAAAAAAAATAAAAATACACCACAACAAAATAAACCATAATCAGACTCCTGTTTTCTCTTGTAATTCAGCTGTACGTTCGAAGAGTGTTCATCACTGATGACTTCCATGACATGATGCCCAAATACCTTAACTTCGTTAAGGGTGTTGTAAGTATAAGTCTTATTTGCAATGGACTTTTTTCTTCAAATACTAATGGTGGCTATACTTAAAGATGCTCTTTTCTCTGTTAGGTGGATTCTGATGATCTTCCTTTGAATGTATCTCGTGAAACACTTCAACAACATAAACTGTTAAAGGTGAGGTAATCTTAAATCCCTTCATTTTTAACAGAGGACTTTTTCAAACCAAATACATGACAGTAGCACAATTTAGAAGAAAAAATAATTTTATTAACTCCACATAAGGACTGTGATATTAAAAGAACTGGAAATGCAAGCAGTGCTGTTCTCAGATAACCTCTCTTCACTTGATATTGGGAACAATAAGTGTCTTGAATCCAGTCTTTGTAGTGGAGTTCATTTGAGGGTTCTTGAAATGCTTATTCTTACAACCTGATACTGCTGCTTTTTCAGGTCATCAGAAAGAAACTTGTTCGCAAAACTCTTGACATGATCAAGAAAATTGCAGAAGAAAAATACAACGACACATTCTGGAAAGAGTTTGGTACCAATGTTAAGCTTGGAGTTATTGAAGATCACTCCAATCGTACACGACTGGCTAAACTTCTTCGTTTCCAGTCTTCTCATCATGAAAGTAACCTTACAAGCCTTGACCAGTATGTGGAAAGAATGAAAGAGAAGCAAGACAAGATTTATTTCATGGCAGGTGCCAGCAGAAAGGAGGTATGTGAGCATGGAAGAGCAAGGGAAGGGGAGAAAATATTACAGCTCTTAGTTATAGTACCGTAGACATGCTGAACTGATTATTTGCTGTACATGTGGAGACTATGCTTACATTACTACTGCAGTTTGATTTTCCTTGTACCACCGTTTGTAAAATAGTTGTACAGGTTTCAGTGGGTGTTGTTACTCATGCAATTATACTGGAATCTGGTATGTTTTATCATCTTAGGCGGAGTCCTCACCATTTGTTGAACGCCTTCTGAAAAAGGGCTATGAAGTGATCTATCTGACTGAACCTGTAGATGAATACTGCATTCAGGCTCTGCCAGAGTTTGATGGCAAGAGATTTCAGAATGTAGCAAAAGAAGGAGTTAAGTTTGAAGAAAGCGAGAAGTCTAAGGAGAGTCGGGAGGCCTTGGAAAAGGAATTTGAACCACTCTTAAATTGGATGAAAGACAAAGCTCTCAAAGACAAGGTAAAGTGTTATGCTATATGTCATGTTTGTTTGCAAATGTTACTATACTTGTTACAACACACTTTGCAGATCACTTGAGCATAAGTAGCTTCTCTGTCTTAAGGATAAATGTTGTTTAATACCTTTATTTCAGAAAAATGAGTTAGATTATCACCTTTGAGCTTTCAGAAAATATTGAAGTTATCAAATTATAGGAAAATTCATTGTTACTTTTATTTCCTGTATAAGCTATTCAGTCTGTGACCTAACACTAAAGGCTTTCACTTTCTTCTTTCAGATTGAAAAAGCTGTGCTGTCTCAACGTTTGACACAGTCTCCATGTGCTCTTGTGGCTAGTCAGTATGGATGGTCTGGTAACATGGAAAGAATCATGAAAGCTCAGGCTTACCAAACTGGGAAGGATATATCTACAAAGTAAGCTTTTACTTCCATACTTGACCACATACTTCCAGGCTTGAAGTGTAGTTGATGGCCTCCCTTGCTTGATGTGGGGACACCAAGTTTTCCTCTGGTCCAGGCAATACTGAGTATCTTTTAGGTCACATAACCACGTTGCAGTCTCCACTGTAGTCTTAAATTGTTATTTCAAAGCTTAGTGTATAAAACTTTGCCTGGTCATCAATTGTATTTGCTATCAGTCATTTGGTGACAAGAGAAGATGAACTGTTTTAGTAACTTGATTATTTCTTAGAGTTCAGCTAATAGTAAAGTGGATCTGGGGAAGGAATAAACTTTTTACTGTAGCTTTAGTCAGTGTCTATGGGTCTAAAGATGTAGCTGTGTCCTATACTTCAAAACTTAGTGATGTAACTTCTATTTTTTTCAGTTACTATGCTAGCCAAAAGAAGACATTTGAAATTAATCCCAGGCATCCACTGATCAAGGACATGCTGAGGCGAGTCAAGGTAAACAAATAACAGTGGAGAAATAGATTGACTTCTTGTCCACATAACAACCTAATTAACAATTCTGCTTTTTTTTCCATGTAATGCTCTTCCACATTAGGAAAATGAAGATGACAAAACGGTTTCAGATCTTGCAGTGGTCTTGTTTGAAACTGCAACTTTGAGATCAGGATATATGCTACCAGACACTAAGGAATATGGAGACAGAATAGAAAGGATGCTTCGTTTAAGTTTAAACGTTGACCTGGATGCAAAGGTTAGTTTGCCTTCAGCTTGGGGCTGATAATTGACTTACTGCTGCTACTTCTTCAAAAGCAGATGCTTGATAGACTTGCATGAAATGAAATGTATCCAGCTTGGCCACCAGGAGGCCAATTCAAATACCTGGGGGGGAAACTGATGAGTTGGTACTTTGTTCATGTGCTCCCTTTTACTCTTCAACTAAGTGGTGGACTAAATTAGGGTCCAAATGCACATGTCTGTTTCATTAGTAGAGAAAAATCATAAGTGGGTATAAATAGTAAGAGTTTTAATAAGGCTGTGCAAGAACTTATGCTGGGGATCTTGACAGAGGAGGTGTGATAGTGTGTTAATGCTAAACAAAGCTTGCTTTCTCCATTAAGTAACTTGGGGCAAATGTGAGGAACTGCTAGTGAATACTTCTGTAGCCTGTAGTTTGCTAGTCCACAGCTAGTAAACATCCTAAGCAAACAAAGGAGTTTGCTTGTGACCTTCCTACAGGTGGAGGAAGAACCTGAAGAACCTGAAGATGCAGCTGAGGAGGCAGAGCAAGATGAAGAAGAGGTGGATGCTGATGCGGAAGACAGTGAAACACAGAAGGTAAGGGTCTCGAGTTTGATGCTTCTTAGCAATGCTTGTGTGCAGTTCTGTCTTTGATGGTACCTGGCAACAAACTTACTTGCTTTGCCTTTCATGACACTAATTTTTAGTATGAGGTTTTCCAAGCTTTTCTTGGAGGGGAAAGAACTGCAGTATAAGTGACGTTTCCTTATCAAACTACATTGTAAGAAGGAAACGGCTTGTGGGGAATAGCATCAACAAATTGGCAGGAGTATAATCTGAAATATTTGCAACGACACTCAAGACAGCAGTGCTACATCTAAAAAGTTTAACTGTTATGTGAAGTCAGCTTTTACTTAGCTCATGTCCATAGTTTTAATGATGTATTTGTGGTTATGCTGATCTCAGAATACTGTCTTGATAACTTTAGAAATTAATGTTATCATGGGGTCCCAAGTGGATCTGCTTTCTCAGGTTGTTTTTGGAAGAGTTCTGCAAGATTACATCTTGTGTCTAGTGTAAATAGCTCTTATAGATGTACTTGGTTACTGTTAAATGTCAGATTACCTAAGAATGAATTTGAGGAATGATGTTTATTGTACCATAGAGACTTACTTTTGATGCCATTACTATTGTGTTTATGCAGCAGTATAATCTGCAATGACAGTAATAAGTTAAAAAGAAGCAAAGTTACATTCTGTTGGATTAACATACTTGAAGATGAAAGTTTCCGACTCCTGACTGGAAAGTGATGTGTTTCCTAGTTCTGCAGTCAAGTAAAATAGGGCTATTAACTGCCCTAATACTGTGCCTGAAAGATTGCTTAGGAAGTATAAAAATAAAATGCTAGGCTACATCTACTTAAATACCTCAAAAATTGTATTGCTTCTGCTAGTGCTTTGGAAAGCATCGACAGAACTTAAGCACAGTTCTTTCAGGTCAGCTCTTGTAACCTTTTCAACTTCCAAAAAGCAAGGTTCTGATTCTCTTTTATGTCTTCACAGGAATCCACAGATGTGAAAGATGAACTGTAAGCTGCACTCAACTACCGTCCTGCACTGGGGGGTTATGAGGGAATGTGAATGAGATTTTTTTTTTTCCACTGTAACATGTTGAGGGATGGTATGGGGTTTAAGGGTAAAGGAGGAGTTTTTTAAGTTCACTTTTCTAAAAACATTCCTCATGAATGTAAATTTGTATTATTTAACTGACTTGGTGTAAAATCTTGTCATGTACAAAATAAAATGTTTCCAAACACCACTAACTCTAAATTTTACATAGTGAGCTCAACTTGGGGGGGCTAGCACAAAAAAATGGAAGGATTGTCTGGAGTGTGCAGGTCCATTGTACAATGGGCAGTTTGCAGTCCTCATGCTTTTCCACACTGACACAGCCACACTTAACTGTGTAGTGTATGCCTGTGGTTGGATTTTGTGTTGAGAAACCTGCTGTGCTCTTTAGCCAAAATATACCTGGTATATGAGAGCTGTATTGGACTTGCTAATTAAAATAAGTATGCAAGAAGTCATGCATCTACTGATGTCTTGGGGAAGATGAGATGGAGTATTTAAAAATAGCAGTGAAATGGATACCCTGCCAGCTTGTGCTGGACTGTGTGACTTGACTTCCCTGGACAGAGTAGGCAGAAGTAGGTTTTACAGCTGAGATGAGGAAAATAAAAAAATTCCTTTCTCTAAAGGTGTAAACAAAACCAGAAGCAGCTCGCTGCCTGTGAGCTTTTACCATACTTCATGGCATTTAGTAACCCTGCCTTTATGTAGCTTTCCCAACAACTGCAGCAGTTGTGCTTTCTACAGTTTTAAAGGTAGAGTCTCGTGTCTGTTGCAGTTACTCCTGAGTGCTGTTCCTACCCTTTTCCACTCTTGTTCTGTGTCTCTTTAGCATGGCAAAGCACTGCAAATACTTTAATTCAAGCTAAATCTGTTGACAACAAATGTAGGCAGGTTCAACTGGAGCCACTGCTTTCTCTTCTATTATACAAACTTTATGTGGTGTTTGGATGAACTGCTACATTTTCTTACTAGTGCTGCTGCTTTGAAATGTCTTTGGGGATGGTAGAAAGTGTTTACCCTGAAGACCTGGGTTTTTTTGCCATTTTGGAAGAAATACAGAGGAGTGGTTCTTCTACACAGTGACTCAACTTCAGAACCACTCTTCTGTTTCAGTTAATGGAACTCCTGTGAAGTTTTGAGGTTTTGCAATCTGAGGCAAAATAAACTTAGCTAGTTAGGTGAGGGTACTAAACACTGACCTGAGGAACTTGGATTTCCATTTACTTTTACCAGGCTGCTTACACATTGCCTAAATACTGTTTCTATGTGATAAATACAAATGCCAGGGATCAGCGTGTAGTGTGACTTAGGATTCATACAGAGATGTTGCATTTATTGGAGTAGGCTGTTTAAGACTTTGAGCAATGGGAGCTTAGTTTTGGTTTTTTTGAGGGAGTCAAGGGTTGGTTTGGTTTTGCTCACTGTAATAGTATCTCAAATGAACTCTTAAGGGCCTTTTGTGTTAAGAGCATGCTGCGTGGTCTCACCCTACAGTGTAGTTGAGCTGCTAGCAGTATTGGTTGTAATAGCAGTCCTTTGTTAGTAAGTTACTGATTTAGTACTTCCTAAAATATCACTTCTAGTAATAGACTGGAGTATATGATCCATACACACCCCAATATAGAATTTCTCCTTGACCATCTTGACTAGCAAATGTGGCTCGGGTCTACTGTGTGGCTAAGAGTGCTTCTGCAGCTAACTGGAGAGGAGTTACTGGAAGCAAAGGGGTGCTTGCTGGAGTATTCTTAATCTGTTAATTATTTGTAGATTTAGGCATCTTTGTTCTGTTACATGGCTGAAGTTCTCAATACCTTGCCTAATACTAGGATTACACATACCTGATTAAATTTCAGAAATAATAAAGAGCACACTTTGAGAGTCATGCTTTGTGCTGCTTCATCTGCCTTAGCTGAGGATACCATGTGCAACATAGCTGTGCTCCAGCTGCTTTCTCTACCCTGGAGTGACAATTGTGTGCTATTAATAAGCACAGGATGTAGTTGTAAGCTTGCTTTTTTGGGGCTGGGGGGGAGGTGCCAGTGCTGTGAAGTAAAATAGTGTCAGTGCTGGAAGATGTCTCCCAGTTACACCAAGGATGTTTCTTTCAGTGCTGCACTCACACTGATTCTGGGGTTTAACCTCTGCTGTTAAAACCTGGAGTACTGCCAGTTTTGCTGTCCTAGATGTGTGCTAATGACAACAGTTCCCTCAGTGCTAGAAAAGGCTGAGGTAAAACATGTGCTCCCTGTTGCTCAGTTTCCATTAGCAGCAAGATACATTTAGAAATCCAAGTCAAATTAGTGCAGCCTTTAGATATGAATAGCCTTTGGAAAATGGAGAAACATATCTTACAAGTCAGAAATCAACAACCGAGGTGATACCCTAAAGAAGTGTGAGTAATGCTGAAAGGGCTGGTAAATCCTGGCTTTTTAAAGGGATAACTGAAACTGCTGCTCCTGCCCCAGTTTGAACAAGAACAAAATCTTCCTCTTAGACTGAGGTGAAAGGTTGTCAATTTCTGCTTTCTTTAGGTAAAAAAGGAAAACAGTGCTTTCACTGAAACTGGACCTAGAAAGATATTCTCATTTATTTCATTTGAGGCTTAACATCTGATACTTGAGGCTTTACTGTTATGACTGATGAAGGTGTCTTGAGATACAGAGCTAGTGATAGGAAGTACAGGCTGCAGTCTGAACAGCCACATAGACACATGAGGGCAGGAGAGGATCTCACCCTGTCTCATCTGCTTCTCTTCATCAGCCAGTAGCTGCAAAACTGTGAGAGCAGGGACTATAAACTCTTCTTCCTAGGGAAACCATATGCAAACATATTTGAAATAACAGCTTCACAGCTACAACAGATGTATAAGTAGTATTTTCAGTGATTGGTTCAGGATCTCTCTGCTATTGCAAGAGCTCTAAGTACTTTGCCAGTAGGAATCAGGGAGCTTTCTAATTCTCTAATGGCTTGCCTGTCAGATTGTGTTTTTCTTGCCCAAGTTAAACCTGAGTGAGAACTGATGAAGCCCATGCTATCTCTGTGTGCCTTTCTCAAGGGAAAGCAATTCCCAACCTTCATATTCTTTACCATGTACCACTAAAAAAGTTAGTTGCTGCATCATCTTTGAAGGATGTTGACTTTTGTGCATCAAGTTCACAGTACAAGAATTTTGTGGCAATCCTATTTCAGGACTGAAAGGTACTCGTTAGTTCAGAGTTTTGTATATTTACAGCTACCAAAAGTAGTGGTAAACAGAAGATGCCTAAATGGAGTACAAATGTACATAATTTCAGAGTAAACTGTATGTGTTTGTCCTGTTTTCATAGAACCATAGAATCGTTTTGGTTGGAAAAGACCTTTAAGATCATTAAGTCCAACTGTTACCTCAGCACTGCCAAGTCCACCTCTAAACCGTGTCCCCAAGTATCACATCTACACATCTCTGGTTGCCCTGGCAACCAGATATGAAGACGGGCTTGGGGAAGACATGCTAGAGAGCAGCCCTGTGGAAAAAGACCCGGGGGTACTAGTGGATCAAAAGCTGGACATGAGCCACCAATGTGCAGTTGCAGCCCAGAAGGCCAACAGCATCCTGGGCTGCATGAAAGGAAGTGTGGCCAGCAGGGTGAGAGAGGTGATTCTACCCCTCTACTCTGCCCTGGTGAGACCTCACCTGGAGTACTGCATCCAGCTCTGGAGCCCTCAGCACAAGAAGGATGTGGACCTGTTGGATCATGCCGAGAGAAGGGCAATGAAAATTATCAGAGGACTAGAGCACCCCTCTCTGGCCATTCAGCCATTGTTTTACCCAGCAAAGCCACAAGCAGTGAGTCTGTCCAAGAGAATGCCGTGAGAAACTGTCAAAGGCTTTACTAAACTCTTAATTTTAACTAACACAACCAGATTCTCCTCCACAGTAAGATCCTCCCCAGTCTCACAGTTTGCCAAAACAGTTCCTGTCAGCAATACCAACAGAAAGCCAAGTCAGCCAGGATGACGAGTCCATGGCAAGAAGTATTGCAGTAAGTAATCATTCTTACTTGTACCTACCCTCACTGTACCAGGCTCCGTGTTACGTCCAATAATACTGAGTTAAGGTTTTAAAAGGTAGGAAATGCCAACAGGTAAATGGGTTCTATTACAGATGAACAGGTCAGCTTATTAAAAGGCTAATGAGCAGCCACAAATGGTTGACACTTCAAAATGCTAAGCTTTCTATACCTGTTAATCAGCTTAAAAGTTTCAAATTCCATCAGACTTACCAATGTGAGGTTACACCTTGTACTCTGAAGGATACTTGCACTGCAACCAGGATTAAGAAACCATAGGCATTTTGACACACAACCAATTGGACTTTTAACAACAGCATTTATTTTTAATGCTGCCAGTAACTACTTAAAAAGAGACCAAAAAAAAGGCAAAGTATTAAGGGAATACACAAATTTCACACATGGATTTCTGCAGTTGAAATGACTGAACAGATACTTTATCAGTTCTAGTTTTCACAACCTAAGTAAAGTCTGGTCACTGTTGTGAAGTCTGAACTTGGCTTGATCTTGCTTTTAGACCCAACAGTTCTGTTCTCAGTTCTCCAGGCTTGGGAGGTATGTCAGGTATACTCTGTAAAAAAAAATGGAGAAAGGTGTTGATGTTGTGTCAGAAGAAAAACAAACTGAACAACCAGTAAATTAGCACACTCTGTAAGAGACAGCATTTTAACTAAATTATTATTATACTGTGTCTTTTTTGAGCAGAGTAGAATTCTTACATGCAAAACATCTCAAAAATTAACCTATTACCTTTTCCTAATTTGACTTTTATTTTAAAGTAGCAAAATATTCTTTGAAAATCAGGGATGAAAAAGGAAGAACTGGCACTTTGTTTAGGGGAACAAAACTTCTTTTTGCCATTTAAGAAAGTAATTTTGGTTGACATGCACCAGTTGAAACTTCCACACGTTCTTTCTCTTGGTGACAGACAAACAAGTTTCACTGCTTCTACTTTTCTATTTTACAAATAAAGCTGTGAAACTGGACATGAAATTTAAAAGAGGAAAATATACTATATGACATTGTAAAAAACGTAACTCCTCAAATTCTTGCTAGGGAGCTGTAGAACATTCTGAATAAATATGCCTATTTGCCTGTATTGAAGTACTACAGTAGAGATTCTTATGCACCCATCAATGATTTAAGCTGCATTGCTTAAATTTTGACATGATAGCTGAAACATGGTGATTTTTAAACCTTTGATTTTAAAATAGTAGTGTTTTTTTAAACAAACAAACAAAAAGCATATCAGAGCAGGAGGACAAGATGACTTACACATCAGAAGGCCTCCAAAAGACCAAGTCAACTCTTAATATGCATGGTGGATGATCTTATTTTATTCTCTGGGATTGCAATTTTGATCGTTTTGATTCTCACTCTGTCATTGTTCCTAACGTAAACTTTTGGCTGTGTTAATTTCCACTACTGGAGAAAAAATTAAGTCTTACTTAAATCTAGTATAGCACCTTTTCACCCTTTTGCATGCTTTTTTCAAAACCCAACTTCCCACAGGTCAAACCCCTCCTGAAGAAGCTTGCCTAGCTTTCTTATTATTATTATTATTTTCGGTTCCAAGTTTGACAGCAGCTCCAAGGAGAAGACCTGGCCGCCTGGGCGCTGCCCCTTTTGTGCAGCCCGGACAGAGGCCTTCCCAACACCGCAGCTCTCCGGGACACCCGCAGACCCGCGGGCAGGCACCACAG